CGCGCTCGCCCCGGGAGCGGGGCCCGGAGCCGGCACCAAGGTGCAGAGCTGCGGGAGACGTGGCGTGTGGGACGGGCCAGCTGTGGAGCCGCCGCCGGGCTCCTGGGTGGGAAGGGGAGCGGAGCGGAGCGTGCTTTCTGTTACCATATTGCTTGCTTTGTCAATCAAATGTCCTAATTAGAAATAGGAACCTGGGAGAGTCCTGAAGTGAGGGGTGTTCAGCCGCTGCCGAGGACGTTTCACACATCCTCGGCAGCGATAGGCGACCGCCTGTACGTGTTTGGAGGGGGAGACAAAGGAGCGGAACCTGTTACAGACCGGCGCTTCACGTGTTTGACACAGGTACCTCCGCACGCGTGAAGGGCTGTTGTGCCAAGCGGTGGAATCCGTCCTCTGTTGAGTGAGGGGTCTGCGTTTCGCAGTCAAAGACGTGGAAAAGTTGGGCTTTGGCTACCAGTTGAAATGGATGGGTGGACGTTCCTCGCCGTTGACCTGCGCTTATCTTTATGTAGTCGCGGGGAATTTGGGCCAAAATGGCAGCGTAAAGCTCTGGGCTGCGGAACGCCATGGGAGATGGGAACGGTTTGTCACATTTGCCCACCAGCTGATTCCTTTCCGTGGAGGCATCGTCCTGTGCTGCGCGCCTGCTGTCCCAGTTGTCCCATTAGTTCTGACGGTCCCGTACGCACCGGAAAGTGTTCGCTTTCTGTGTGATTTAATCCGTCCTGCTGCTGGGTGACCCAAACAGCGCGCACGGCTCCATCGGAGGGCTTGCCTGCGCTTTGCAATGAGGCATTAACCCCCGCCCGAGGCACTTCCCGAGGAAGCCGCAGCAGGGCTCTGGGGTCGCTGGTTTGTGGAGCTTCCAGAGTTTTCTTCCTAACGCACGCGTGCTCCCATTTTTAGCTACCTTGACCTGGTCCCAGCCAGATACTTACGGTGATCCCCCCTCTCCTCGGCATGGACACGTTGTGGTTGCAGTCGGGACCAAGCTCTTCATACATGGAGGTTTAGCTGGTGATATTTTTTACAATGATCTGTTCTGCATTGATATAAGTAAGTATGGATCTAGGTACTGTAGAGCCATAGCTGTTGCATGACGTGTTTTCATTTTGGGGAACCTTTTTATCTAAAAGATCGGTTCTTAAGTGCTTAAAATATTACTGTATTTGTTGAAAATGACAAAACTCGTGGGGTCTTTTTTTTATAATGCGTAACCATAGGCGTGTTCTTTTTCTCCAACAGATGACATGAGATGGGTTAAGATACCAGCCACGGGTGATGTCCCAGGAGGACGGGCATCCCACGCGTCAGCTGTGTTTAAAGACCACTTGTACATTTTTGGTGGAATAGGTCCCGAGGGGACGCTGGATACTACATACAAGTATCACACAGGTAGGGAGACTTCCCTCAGCGGTGTAACGGTGAATGCCAGGCTCCTGGAAAACGCGTTACCCCTCACCTCTGGGGCTTCACCCTCCCAGTAGTCACCGTCACTGCACTGGAGTTACCCCAGTTCAAGACTAAACCCTGAAATGCTCTCAAATGTTGAACTGATCTAGCTAATGATGTCACTGTCCCAGCATGCTTTTTAAGCCTACATTTGAAGCTGTAACTGTGTATCTTTGCAGAGAAGCAGCAGTGGACACTCCTGCAGTTTGATTCCCCCCTGCCCGCTGGGAGACTGGACCACGCCATGTGTGTCATTCCCTGGCAGGCTGGCAGGAGCAGGGAAGGCAAAGCGGGGAAGGAGTCAACTACGTGGGCAGGTGACGACGCTGGCCTGTGCCAGAAGAGCGAGGAGGAGGAGGGCTGCGCTGAGGACACAGTTGTGCATCTACTGTTAGTGTTTGGTGGGATGGACACCCAGGGGGAAATATACAGGGACTGCATCGTCAGTCTGATCAACTAGCAGAGCCACGGGCCTGCCCCGCACCAGCCTTTTCCACCCGGCTTTCATGGTGCTGCCGGGTTAAGCCAATTCTTCTCTCCAATAAACATTCTTACCCTCAAATGGGTGGCACTGCACTAACACCCCCCTGAGTAGGGTGCTTTCCTGCACGCAGTCCTGCTGGGGTAGGGATGGCATTCCCTGGGGCAGCTGCTGCAGAGCCGTCGCTTCACCACAGGTTGCTGGAATGGTTTGTGCTGTCAGGACAGCTTCCTGTGCTGTTGGCTACAGAAGCACTTCTGTCTGCAAAGCCACAGCATCACCTGGAAACAGAGGGTGGGGGGGATGATGACTTGGGTTTTAGCTTTCACTAATTTGAAAATTAGTGAATGAAAACCAGGGAGAAAAAAGCATCCCCCACACCTGGGAAAGTGTAAATCACTAAGTGGTTTTAAGGTGGTATTAAGGCAGGCACCACAAAAGCTCCTTCTGTACTCAGTTCAGTACATCTCATCAATGGTCAAATAAAAAGACCAAGTTCTAATTAGGCTTTTTTTTTTAAAAAAAAGCCACCCAACACTTAATAGTGTAGACCAGAAAACTGGTCTGTTGTCTCATGTGAGACTCAAAGCTCCTAAAAAGTTTTAATACTGCAGGAAATTGTGTTTGTAGTTAATCTGCCCTCCTCTCCCTCACATGCTTTGCATCACAGATGCTGCAGCCAGCTGGCCTCTCCAGCAGTCCATCTGAATCCTGGCATTCAGGTGTAATCCACAGCCTGGTTAAGAGCAGCCGTTGTAACTAGGTGATGGGGAACACAAAACTAGAGCAGAGTCCAGTGTAAATAAACAAATTTATTGTGGTCACTTCAGGTAGAAAAGTTCTACACCAAATTCACATGACCAAGTTGTTAAATAGAATGCTTCTGCTGCCAGAACTTCGAAACCCATTTTGCATTTACGCTCCCTCCCTGCTACCCTTCCCTCCCCAGACATCAAGCAACTGCTAACGAAAAGCAGTATACAGCCACTTCGGGCTAGCATTTCCAGCTCCACTCACGAGTGAAGATTCAAAGTTACATTCCAAATTAAGAGTTCAATATTTTAAACAAGTGTTCCTGAGTCCAATATATACACACACAATGTTCGGAGATGCTGGTATCTACAACTCATCCTTCTCCGCTGCTTCCTCTTCACCAGGGGGAGGGCCCGCGCTTCCATAGAGCTTGCTAACGATTGGCTGCACAACTTCCTCCAGCTCCTTCTTTTTTGCTTTGAAGTCTTCAATGTCTGCATCTTGGTGGCTTTCGAGCCACTCGATCTTTTCCTCTACCACTTTCTCTATTGTTTCTTTGTCTTCAGATGACAGCTTACCACCCAGCTTCTCTTTGTCCCCAATCTGGTTCTTCAGAGAGTAGGCATAGCTTTCCAGCTCATTCCGGGCATCAATGCGTTCTTTAAGCTTCTTGTCTTCCTCAGCAAACTTCTCGGCATCATTAACCATCCTCTCGATCTCTTCTGGTGTCAGCCGATTCTGATCGTTTGTAATCGTGATCTTGTTTTTGTTCCCGGTGCCCTTGTCTTCAGCTGTGACACGGAGGATTCCATTCACATCTATTTCGAAGGTAACTTCGATCTGGGGGACGCCACGAGGGGCAGGAGGGATGCCCGTGAGATCAAAAGTTCCCAGAAGATGATTATCCTTGGTGAGGGGACGCTCGCCTAGAAGACACAATTCAATATGGTTTCTTTCTTTCCTAGCTGTGGTTTGTACTTTGTCAAAGTGTACTTTTAGCATGGTAAGGTTTTCATTTCAGCCCGACACCTGTCTAGGCACCTCCTACAGTATCACCTCATCCTCCGAGCAGCTCTTCAGAACAGAGCCATGGAAAGAGGCACATTTGAAAAAAAAATTCTAGTAACAGCTTTTGATGCAGGTCAAGAAGCCTGCTCAGAGCAGCTTCAGAAAGCTAGCACTTACCAAGCTCTTCTCCATAAGGAGACATCCATAACCACCTAGAAGTATCTACAGCCTCTGCGCTAAGACAGTAGCAAGCACTGGAGTCCTACAGATTCCAGCTGCCAACACAGCCTGCCACAGGTGACACTTACCCTCATAGACCTTGATTGTCACAGTTGGCTGATTGTCAGAAGCTGTGGAGAAGATCTGGGACTTCTTTGTGGGAACAACAGTGTTTCTTGGGATCAGTTTAGTCATTACACCTCCGACGGTCTCGATGCCGAGCGTCAGAGGACAGACATCAAGCAACACCAGGTCACCTGTAACAGATCAAGGCCAAGACCAACATGACTTCAACCTGAAAGAAACACAGCACCTCCCAACTGCAAGCAGGATCCGGACGTCTGAGAGGCACAAGAATTTGTAAGAACTAGAAAAGAAGTTCTACATTTGTCAGTAATATCCACTGTTCAGAGTCACCACTCTCCTGAAGTGACAGCGAGGGTGTCATTACCTGTATCTTGGTCCCCAGAGAGAACGCCAGCCTGGACAGCCGCACCATAGGCCACAGCCTCATCTGGATTAATGCCACGAGAAGGCTCTTTCCCATTGAAGAACTCCTTAACTAGTTGCTGTATCTTGGGGATGCGAGTAGAGCCACCAACAAGAACAATCTCATCAATGTCAGACTTCTTTAGGTCAGAGTCTTCCAGAACTTTCTGAACAGGCTTCATAGTGGAACGGAACAGGTCCTAGAAGACCAAAAAATCCCAGGACTGTAAGACTGTACTCCCAGGTGCCTAGCCTGCAAATTATGCAGCCATAGCGTACAGCAGACAGCCACTATAGAGGAGGAACATCAACTGGCTCCTGACCAGCCTCAATGAGAGCTCAGCTGTCACAAGCAGGCACACAGCCCCAGCAAGGAGCAGCTGCTGGCTTTTCAGTGCAAGCACAAGCTATTTATACCCCAGAGCGCAGTGTCACAGCAGGAAATACTGCACATTCACAAGTCTCCAGCCTAGAGCTGAGGCAATGTAACTTTACCTTTCTAAACTTACCATGTTCAGCTCCTCAAACTTGGCCCGAGTAAGTGTCTCCGAGAAATCCTCTCCTTCAAAGAAGGATTCTATTTCAATTCTAGCCTGGTGCTGAGATGACAAGGCTCGCTTTGCTTTCTCCACTTCCCGTCTCAACTTCTGCACAGCTCTGTTATCCTTCCTGACATCTTTTCCAGTTTTCTTCTTGTAGAGCTTGATGAAGTGTTCCATAACACGTTGGTCAAAGTCTTCGCCGCCCAGGTGAGTGTCACCGTTAGTAGCCACAACTTCAAAGACTCCATTGTCAATGGTGAGGAGGGAGACATCAAAAGTTCCACCGCCCAAGTCAAACACAAGGATGTTCTTCTCACCCTCTCTCTTGTCCAGGCCATAGGCAATGGCAGCAGCGGTTCTGTGCAGGGAACAGCCCACTCAGACACCTGGGACTGCCACCCCCCTCCCCAGCAGGCGGGATAGGTTAGGCTACTTACGGCTCATTGATAATTCTCATCACATTCAACCCAGCAATGGTACCAGCATCTTTCGTAGCCTGACGCTGAGCATCATTGAAGTAGGCTGGCACAGTAACAACAGCATGGGTAACCTGAATAAGGAGTAAAAGATACAATTTTGTTACACAAATGAAAAAAAAAAAGGCACATAGCTTGTAAAGAATGGAAACACTGATAACAAGTACCCCACTGTTCTTCAGAGAGAGGCAAAACCCCACCACCAGCTGAGCCCATTCAGCTGGGCCACCTAAGGGGCCAGCAGCACTGAACAGAGCTTAGGGTTGCAAGGTTAGCCCACAGACTCAGCCCACCCATCTGCAGTTCTGTAAAGCTGCTGCTTTATGTTCTTACTAGCAGCACTCATGAACTTACTTTCTTCCCCAAGTAAGCCTCTGCAGTTTCCTTCATCTTTGTCAGGACCATAGCAGAAATTTCTTCAGGAGCAAATGTTTTTGTCTGTCCACCTCCAACATCGACCTGAATATGGGGCTTGGCTTTCTTTTCAACAACCTGAAAAGAACAACATATACACTCCTATTCCAGCGGTTCACAGGATTATTCCCACTTATCCCAGTGTTTCTTTCCCTCTAAAGATTAAGCAAAACCTCTGTAACAAGTGTAATTTGAACACCAGCTAACACAACTGTTTTCTACACACCACAGCCACACTGCTGCACCCTGCCCCCCTGCAGGGTTGCTCAAAAGGTGCACCGTGATTCAGCAGCCTCGCGTTTCAGAGGCGGGGGGGGCAGGCGGCACCTGCAGCCCCCGCTTCTGAGGGGATCTGAAAGGACATGTAGGCCCCCCTCCCGCCATCCGCCCCTCCGCGCTCGGTGCCCACCTTGAACGGCAGGTACTTGATGTCCTGCTGCACAGAGGGGTCGTTCCAGGTGCGGCCGATGAGCCGCTTGGCATCAAACACGGTGTTCTCGGGGTTGGACGTAAGCTGGTTCTTGGCAGCATCCCCGATCAAGCGCTCCCCCTCGGGCGTGAACGCCACGTAGGACGGCGTGATACGGTTGCCCTGGTCGTTGGCGATGATTTCCACGCGGCCATTCTTGAATACGCCCACGCTGCGGG